TTTCAAGGGCAAGGATAAACTTCCAAGTGAGTTCATCTACATATATTTTCAAAACAGTGTATTTACCTGATGCAAGTGGCACCTCTAACAGTTTCTTACTAGCCTGTCCATTATGCCTTCTTTCTAGTGTGATGTCTCTCTCTAAGTCCAGATGTCTCCTCAGCAGGGCAGGGAGGGCCCAGTGGCAAAAATGATGTCCCTGAAGTTCTACCACTGAGCCTTCCCATCTCCCAGAGCTCTAGACTTAAGTGGGAATAACTTGTCTGAGGCCCTCAAGCAGCCAGTGGTAGTCAATGGACCAGGTTATCATACGTGACACTTCTGAATTTGTTTTCTTGGGATACAGACACTGAGAATCTCAAAACTTTTTCCATGCACAGGTGGGCTTGCCCTGCAACTGAGCTCCTCTTTGCCCTGTGATGTGTGGCTTAGTTTTGTCCCTCACAGTGAATTGCAGCTCTGCTCTCCCTCAACAGTTACCACAGTACTTGCTCTGCCCCCGTGCAGAATGCTGCACTCAATGGATACTTTTCAAGGTTTATTGCAGCAAAACAGTCTTGAAGAGGTGGCGTTTGAAAGTATTTAATTACAAAGCCTTCTCATTTCAGCTGAGCTTTAAAGAAACATACCTTAGAGAATAGGAGCTAAAGAAGAAAGTTGTGCTTCTACAGGAAGGAAAGGGCCGGAAGGTTATACCCAAAAGCTGGGGGCGGGAAACAAAGGACTTTGAAGTCCATAAGGCAACTTGGAGTATTCATAAGAAGAATGTGTTCCATGATGGACACTATCACACTGCATTTCAATATAGATTGTGCAACTACAACTGGCTTTCTTGCTATGAGAGTTACTCAAGCCACAGAAGTTTAAAAACTTTGCAGGAGTTGATAATACACAAGGACATGGAGGTTTTCTTTCCTGCATTACTAGTAGTAATTTGTAATAAATAAATTCAGGCATATAGTTATGATTATTTACTTATAGGCATACATATACATTATTTTGAGGTGTTACTGGTGCAACACAAACTGCTCCTGGGAGTGGGGCTAACTGATGATAGGGAAGTTGCTCTTCATGGATGATCTGCATCAGAGCCCATAGTCGGCCAGGTGCCCTTGGTGAGGGTCTGGTCTGTCCAGGAGATTTCACACAGAGGAGCTCATCTTGGATAGACAGAGAGTTATATCTACACTAAAGACAAAAATAAGTCGGTATAGGACACCAGTTCCTGGAGGATTTGTTACGGCTTTTGCTTTCTTGGAAGATCAGTTTATTATTACAGTTTTGTTGTTCTGTGCTTATCAGAGACATCTCTGCTCCCAGCTAAGCTTATAAGGGATCTCTCAGCCTCTGAATGAGTGAGTGGATATCCTTCTTTGTCAGTACATTTCTGTTGTGACTGGGTCACCTTTATGGCTGCTCCCTCACGAGTAAAAGCCATATGGGACAGAATGAACCGATCAAGCTACTTCATATATTTGTACATGCAAATTCCTAATGAAGCTTTGTTGCCCAAACCCTTGGTTATGGGGCAATAGCTGGAGTCTTATAAACTCCTAGTTATAAAAGATTAGTCTCTGCCTAGAAGTTGTTTGGTGCCAGTAGTACGACACTTATACCTTGCCCTGTCATGTATTATCTAAGTGCATTGACTTCCTTCCAGTTTCAACACATCAAGAAATTTTAATGCAAGAGTATGGTTTAAAACCACGCAGGTCTCCTGGAAGGGGAAAAAATCTCATCCACAAACAATTAGTCAAAGTAAACACATTCCTGCATAACATGAACTTATGTAGTCACTACAACTGAATGCTCTTTTCTTCCAGCAGTGGAGATCCGGAAACCTATATATTTAGTCTCAGAGAAAAAGATTTATCTGCTTTCTTACTCCCTTTAAGGATGCCTGGAAGACACAATTAACACAGACTGATTGCTATCCTACAAATCTCTTGACAATTTGATTGGGGTGGAAATGTGAGAAGCATCTATCAGCAACTTGTATTCACATATTCTATCACTCAAAAATATCTAAGGTATAATCCAAGAGTTACATGATACCTTGTTCTTTCCGATTTCATGGGAGGGACTTCCAATTTGAAATAATTCAGTATCACACAGGTTTGCTTTGACATTTGAGGGCTCTAACACATTTATGCTTCCCCTTATTGATCAGCCACCATTTTTGCTACTTTTCTACTAGTACTCCTGCATAGCAGAGTAGGAAGTTACCTTGCAATAGTAATAGCACTGAAGAAAGTGGAGGATGTTGACAATGCTGTTCTTCATTCAGCAACTGATACGGGTTCACCAAAACAGACATGGTCCTGATACAGCCTGGCTTCCCATCTGAGAGCTCAGAGGGGTGAGGAGACAGGCGAGGCAAAGCACAGGAAAACAAGCTAGGAAAGAACATCACCTTCCCCACCCTACACTCAAGTGTCAGGGTAAGACTGCAGAGTCTAGTTGGAGGTCAGTAACAAGTGGTATCCCTCAGGGGTCAGTACTGGGTGCAGCCCTGTTCAATATATTCATCAATGATCTGGATGAAGGGATAGAGTATACTGTCAGCAAGTTTGATGATGACACAACACTGGGAGGAGTGGCTGACACGCCAGAAGGCTGTGCTGCCTTACAGCGTGACCTGGACAGGCTGGAGAGTTGGGCAGAGAGAAACCTTATGAAATTCCACAAGGGCAAGCTTAGGGGACTGCATCTGGGGAGGAATAACCCCATGCATCAGAACAGGTTAGGGGCTGACCTGCTGGAGAGCAGCTCTGTGGAGAGGGACCTGGGAGTCCTGGTGGACAACAGGATGACCATGAGCCAGCAATGTGCCCTGGCGGCCAAGAAGGCGAATGGCATCCTGGGTTGCATCAAGAGTGTGGCCAGCAGGTCGAGGGAGGTCATCCTCCCCCTCTACTCTGCCCTGGTGAGGCCGCATCTGGAGTGCTGTGTCCAGTTCTGGGCTCCCCAGTTCAAGAAGGACAGGGATCTGCTGGAGAGGTTCCAGCAAAGGGCAACGAAGATGATTAGGGGACTGCAGCATCTTTCTTGAGGAAAGGCTGAGGGACTTGGGGCTTTTTAGTCTGGAGAAGAGAAAACGGAGGGGGGATCTCATCAATACTTACCAATACTTAAAGGGAGGGTGCCAGGAGGATGGGAACAGTCTTTTTTCAGTGGTACAAGAACAAGAGGTAACGGGCACAAACTTGAACATAGGAAGTTCCATGTAAACATGAGGAGGAACTTCTTTACTTTGAGGGTGGCAGAGCACTGGAACAGGCTGCCCAGAGAGGTTGTGGAGTCTCCCACTCTGGAGACATTCAAAACCTGCCTGGACACCATCTTGTGCAACCTTCTGTAGGTGAACCTGCTCTGGCAGGGGGGTTGGACTAGATGATCTCCCTTCCAACCCTGACCATTCTGTGATTTTCTCAGAATCCAGAGAGGAAATGTTTTTACTTATTCTAGCAAGTAGACAGTAAATACTATGAAGTGAGCAACTGTGGTCTCTCCAATGCAGCATCCTTCCCTACTTTAGGCTATCATCTAGGTTTAAACACCCATTTGCACACTTAGTCCAGTGTTTCTCTGCATTTGCAGGAATTAGTGCAAACCAGGGACTGAAGACCAAAAGCGATAAAACACTGGTATTTCTCTTTCATAACAGCAATTAAAGTAAACTTCAACACAAGACTCAAATTCCCTGCCAGGGAACAGCAGCAGGCTGGGGAGCAACAAGGCAGTGACCACCACGACAACTACCAGCAGCACCACCACTGGTGCCACCAGAAATCCTGGCACCAACCACATCCATGACAAGGACCAACAACAGCACCGCACAGGCACAACCACCACCAGCAGCACCAGCACAACTAGCACCAACATAACTACCAACACCACCACCGGCACCTCCGGAACCACCATCGGCACCACCACCCACACCATCACAACCACTGGAACCATACGAACTACCACCACCACCAGCACAATCATGACCACCACCACCGGCAACACCAGCATCGCTGCAACCACTAGCACCACAACAACTGGCACAGCCACCACCACCAGCATCACCATAACCGGCACCAACACCACGAACGCCAACACAACCAGCACATCCACCACCACCATCACTACCACCACTGACACCACCAGGAACGCTGGCACCACCACCAAAACCACTGGAATAACCACTGGCAGCACTACTGGCTCCAATATCAGCACCACTACTAAAACTGCCACTGGAACAACCAGCATCACCACTTGTAGCCGTATAAATGGCACCACTGGCACCACCAACACCACCACCAGAGGCACAAGCGCCTTCAGCACAGTCACTGGCACAGCCACCAACATGACCACGGGCACAATAACAATCACCAGCAGCACTGCCACAAGCAGTTGCACAACCAACACAACCACAGTCACGGGCACTGGCTCAACCACCAGCACCACCACAATCACCATCACTGACCCAACAACCGGCACCACT